GAAAACCTATGCACACCCTCTCCAGGTTAACAAGTTTAAAAAAGGATAGTTGGGCGGTGAGGTACTCACTTGACTGAACCCATTTAGATACGATGGAAAAGCCTTGCATGCAGTTCAGATGAAGTGGAACTCTGATACTGACGTGAAGCTTCCAGTCCTTTGGCCAGCCCCTGTTTGATCCTGTCACCCAAACGGACAGTCAAACCCTAAGGGAACACAGCTAATGCTGCTTCTTGAAAAGGTAGAGAAAATGTGTCGTTCTCCAGTGGAAATTGCCTTGATACTGCCACCACAAGATAAAGTTCTCACACTTCAAGGAACAGCAATGCTGACTCAGGGACTTTTGTCTGTGCAGGAATCCCTTGGTCACTTGGATTGAGAGGTCCTGCCTTCATCTTATCACGATGGAAAGGTTAGGGGGAAGTGCTTCCTTGAACACAAGCCTTAGGACAACCATTTCTGGTTATGGCAGAATGAAAGCTCCCTCGGTGCCAAGGATGGTGCCAAGGATTCCAACTTAGCCCATATTACTGTTTTGTGGTTTTGGCCTCCCAGATCAGAATAGGCTTTGTGGCTTCTTAGGCTACCATCTAAGCTCCTGATGCCCTCCCATGCCACATTTCAAAGTACGGCAAAAGGATCACACAGAGGCATGCCTTACTCTGAGGCAGTAAAGGCAGCTCATACAGGTGATAAGATATAATTCAAATCTCACTGATCAGACAAGGCAAAAAGGTAATCCTGAAAGAAGACACTGATGAAGATTAAATGAGTAAGAAATAACTTGGTTGGCCATTGTGAAAAACTGAAACAGCTCTAGGTAACTTCTGTCAAATATAACGTGCTGAGACTAAGAGAAGACGGCTGCAAGTGCAGGTACCATAAAGAGCAAACATCCCCCAAGACTGAGCGATAAGGTCCATATAAACCCAGTGCAATGGGAAAAAAAAAAAGGAATTTAAAGATTTTCTTAGTGGAGCAGGAGATGTAACACATTCCTCTTTACTCTTAACTCTGCAGGCTCAGAATAAATAATTATTTTTTTCAGAATGAAAAAATGAATTTAAAAATCCAACTAAATATGGCCTATTGTATAAAAAATGTGACTTTTCAGAACAGAAGTGCCCTTCTATTAGATATTAGATAGAATATTCTGTATTTTATCAATATGGAAATGTTTACATTTAATATAGTACAACAGGCTGCTAGGTTAGTTTGCCTTTTTTTTCACTTATGAAATCAGAGATTTGCTCACAGATCTTGTGACTCTTAATTTTCTTTCCCCAGAACCCATTGCTTCAGAGTCTTCAAAGGAAGTGTTGTTACTGAGTCTCAGGAATTTTCACCCATCAGTCTTCCAAATTCCATCAGGATTGATTGAAAATTTCAGATTTCGCCTTGAGAACACATACAGGAAAATGTAATTTTTATGTTATGATATTTTATTTATTTTTTTAATGGGGCATGCCTCATGCTCTTTATTGCTTTGGCCAAGTCCAGGCCTGAAAACATGGTAGGGCTGTTACACAGGTAGCACAGCAGAAGCTTGTGTTCACTCTCTTTTTGTGCAGAACAGCTACTTCTGAACTCTGAGTGGCAAATTATAAAGATTGGTTAATGTTAGTACCACATGCTCAGCAGTAAGCTACTTGTGACAAGAACCAAGTTTTCACTGTGTATCACTTTAGTGTTTAGGCAATGAGGCTCTGGCTTTTAACATATGCTGCTAGGATGCTACAGTTGTATCCTATTGAGCCAAATTAATCCCTGATAAAATACCACTAATTTCAACTGGATTTCAGTCCAGTCATAGGGTCTCTCTTAGATATAGATTTTGTAAACGACAAAGTTTACAAAGGAGCCCATTTTTCAGCTTCAAATAATGTGCTAATGTAAGAGAGAATATTTCATATGATGGAGCATTCTGGATCTTCCAGTGATCATAAAATGATGGAGTTTCAACTAAATAGAAGGAAAAGAAATGCAGGTATGCAGCTTTGTTTCTTAATTTCAAAATGGCAAACTCTGCCAAATGTTCCCTTAGAAAATAGCCTGAACTCAGGGACTTGAACATGAAGATGTCTGTCATTTTCTCAAGTTAGAAAAATCACGGAACATACAGTGTGTACGTAAAAATCTATAAAAGTATAGTATATTCCAGATGAAAGTATCTCAGGTAGTATTTCTTTACTGACTTAGTGCAACAAGTAGGTGCATACTAATGACATTTGTTGATGGCATGAAGTTGAGACAATTAACACAGGAATCAATTAGGATACCACACAGGAAGACAAGGACACCTGAATGCTTAAGATTAACAGAAATAGGTTGTAATTCAGTAGCAACTGATGTGCGAGGTCATACACTTTAGAATAACTGACAGTTACCTCTATTATCATCCAGGGATCTCCTCAGCTGGACAGGACAAGCAGAAGAAAGATAACCATCCTGACAAAGGATGGTTGTGATCCGCCAACCTAATGTGCCTGTGAATACATGTGATGCTGGGAGACCGCAGACAAATTATTTCCAGCAGCTGTACAAAGTCCTCATAAGGCAGCACTTAAAAGCCTGCATATAATTCTGTGTGGAAAGATGAGGAAAAAGACATTCACCTGGTATCAGATGGGAATATCTGAAATCCAGGGGAAAAGAGAAGCTGCCTCCTAAGAGGTGACTCCGAGAGCTTGACTTGATGATCCTATTTATCAAAACTGAGCCAGGAACATCGTGGCAGTTTATGAAGGCACACCACTGAGTCCAGTGGAGAGTCACCATGCTGGTCAGGGGCTGGAGCACATAATATAGAAAGAAAGACTGAAGGAACTACGTTTGTCCAGTCCGGAGGAGAGAAGGCTCAGTGGAGACTCTGTTGTAGCTTACTGCTACCTGAAGGATACCAGAGAAGACAGGTCAACTCTTCTAAAGCGTTCACAGTGCTACGATGAAAAGCAATGGATATTGTTGGAACATGGAAAATTCTGATTAGACATAAAGAATTTTTATTTTTTTTAACCATAAGGAATGTCAAATCAGGTGTCCAGAGAGGCTGTGGGACCTCCATCCTTGGAGGGTGTCCAACAGTCAACTCGAAACGGCCCTGAGCAACCTGACCTGACTAGACCTGCTTTGAGCAGGGGATGGACCAGATGAACTTCAGAGGTCCTTTGCAACCCAAAATATTTCATGATTCTGTGAAAATGCATTAAAAAGGAGAGAAAATGCATTAAAAAGGAGAAAAAATGCCTCACCGCTTAAACCTTAAAAATACTGACACAAAGAAAGACCGTAGTTAACTTTAGGGAGCAAAATGAACAGGTTTACAATCAAAAATGTTCTTAACAGCAAGGACCACAAAAATCTACTTACTTTTGAAATAAAATTAGATCAATTTCTGAAATGGAGTGGAATGGAAAGGACTGGACTAGCAACCCCGAAAGTGCCACATTCTTACAATCTGTGGTGATGCTTAGTTGTGACAAGCCTAAATGTATTTTTGAAACAGTATTTCTGAATGACTGATGACATTTTTATACAAACTTATGAAGCAGCGAAGGAGTATGTACCAACACAACAATTCAGCAAGGTTTTCTCCCAGTATGAAATACTCAAAAGCCACAGAAAGAATTTCACTGGTACTTGCAGCAACAGAGCAGCACAGGCGATCCCGCTCCCAGGGCTGCCAGAAGGAGCGTGCCGAGTGCGAGCACCCACCACCGAGATAATTCAGCCTGCAGCCTTCCGCTGAGCTGCCCTCAAGAGTGGGTCCAAGTGCTATGTGAATTAGTCTAGGAAACCAAATTTTTCTCCTACAGACAACAGATTAAGCTTCTGATGCTGTGTTTCTGGAGATGCTTCTCTGCAGTCAGAGGAAAAACCACGTCTTGGTTTCACAGTGAAGTGCGTCACCCTATGCAAGAAAGTATTTCCTCAGCAGAACCTTGATTTTGTTGGTTTGGTCTTTCTAGTTCAGCAGAGGAAGCTTCTCATGTGCTTCAGGGGAATGGGTAAGTTTTCAAAGCAGAGCAGTTACACTCTTTGCACATGACACTAAGAGAAACAGACGAAAATTATCTACAGCAGTCTGGAGAATGGTATTCTGCACTTTTCACAAGGGCCGCTGCTCCTCGGCGACTGCAAAGTTCCACAGATGCTCTTGTGAAAGCCTATTTGTCAGGCGAAATGAGAGCTCCTGCTCTGGCTGTCTCCCAGGCGCGAGACTACAAAATGTTTTTCAGAAAGGTTCGGATGGGAGAGATTATTCACAAACTGCCTTTATCATCACTCAGAGAAGAACTGCCTCTGGCTGGAAATATTTCAGAGATATTTATTGTATTCTGAAAACTTTGTTTTATTTCTAACTTATTTACAATAGTTAAACATTCAGAATCATAAAATATGAAGTATAAAATATTTAACAAAATAGATGCAGTTCATGTTGTTCAGGTGCACCATAGATATACGATGAAACAGTACACAGCACAGGAATTTCCTGATGGTTCTCTCTCTCGTTTACCAGGGAAAGGAGTGTGTACACCTGCCCTACATTTTCTGGACTGACCAGTATGGCATCAACCCTGCATTTCAAAGAGAATGACGACACTCTGGTGTCCGTGTCCTCGGTCTCTAACAGTTACCTTCGCTATCTGAAATGCAACACTGTAATGCTGAATATATCAGATACCCTCCAAACTTGGTATTATTTTCAATACCTTGTTTTATTTTTTTTTAATATAGAACTTCCTAGAAAAGAAGAATCAGGTAATTCAGGCCATATGAACAAAAGAGTCATTTATTATATATATATTCTCTAGTAAGTTATAATAGTCTCTTGGATTTTAAATGTCTTTTTGCTATTTTCAATGCTTAAAAATTATAATTTTAAAACATTAAATATTGTGTTATGTACATTACGATTTAATTTCTCATTTCTAAACGTGGAGCATTCTCCAAGTAAAAACTTGGATGAAACAGAAAACAACTTCATTGACATAACAGGCTTTAAAAGTTCACTTCATACAACCATAGATTTGACTATATGAAAAATAGCCAAACATCAATTTGCTCCTATATGGGGTTTTTCCTGTTCAGATTTCTAGTCTTGGGGAGAGGGGGTTTTTTGGCTTTTCTTTTTGTATAAACAAAAGAACAGATCTGGTCATCACTTTTGTCAGTGTTCAGTATTTGAACCTTTTTTTTTTTTTTTAAATCTCATACCTATTTTATATAAAATAACAAAATATACAGAGAAAGCTGAGTTTGTTACATTAGTTCATACACACAGGGTAAATAAAAGTTTTTTATGTATGGCTTTGCAAAGGTAGATTATGAAGTGACTTTTGTATTTTATTTATTTAAAAGCATTTTAAGAGAACGTGTTAGTGTGCTTACAATAGCGGCCATGGTAGTCGAATGTCGAGCCAAGAGTTTAATGCTAGGATCACCGGAGGTCTTGCCTGACACTGCTTCTGCAGCCTTCAGAAGACAAATGTAGTTTATTACAACCTCGTCTATCTTAGCTATAATTTCCTGCTGCTGTGTTTCAGAGTTCATGACTTTAACTAAACGCATGCAGGCTTCTGTTAAGCAACAGAGTACTTGAAAGCTGGAAGTCATAGCTAAAAGCATTTCCTCAGGGCTTTTATCAGCCATGGCCATTTTCCTGCAGGCACTTCCCAACTGTCTCGATTCCATAGATAACAGTTGTTTGTACTTAGAAAGTTTAAGGTCATATGTTTCTGGGTGTAAATCTTCTCTCTTGCCCATACTTGCTCGGACCAGTGAGAGTAGCTCATTGGCATCCTTTTGTGCTGCAATAAATCCATCAGGCATTGCATACGTCTTGTCTTTCATCACATTTATTTGCGTGATTCGTGCGTCAAAGGCCACATCGTTGAGATTCACATCCATCTGGCCACCTTGGATGTCAGCACTGCTCTTCTCGTGCGCGTTGACTGTCTCATCTTGCTCAGCACCTGCTGGGGACTCCAAGACTTCCTGCTCATTTTCACTGGAAAACGACTCACCGACTGGTTCCGCGAGCTCACATGGGACCTGCGGTTCGAAGAGACATGAGAGCTGATGGCTGCCTCCGTCATCTTCATCATCGTTGTCATCGTCTCCTCTGCTTAGGAAACAATAGCTAAAGGGGCCACGACACCTCCAGGCGCTGATGTCCAGCTTCCGCAAGGGCAACGTTCGACACTGCTTGGAGTCCTTCTGACTGACGCCTGCGCCCAAACACCTCTCACTGTCCTTTCTATCAGTGCTGACATACATACAACTCTGGGAGTAACTTTTTGACAGCTTTTTGCCCAGGGGGAGTTCCACCCTTCTCTCCGATTTGGATTCCTCCCTTCGGGTGATGTCCAGGCATTTCAAGCTGGCTGCGGCTGCCTTCTTCTCCAACAGCATCTCAATGCCTGCAGATCCTCCAGTGATGCTGCTGCTGCGTCTCAGCACCTTCCTGCTGTGCGGCATCCTGAGGCTTCCTCCTATCATGTCATATGGCCGTAAACTAACTGTTGCCCCACAAGCCTGATTTACTTTGGGAATGTCACAAGAGTCTTGATTTTGACTTGGCACCTTTGATTCTGATAGCATGGATGATAGCATGATGGAGTCAGCTAGAGGCTGTCTAGGAAAAGCTGTAGGCATGCCTCCTTGTCTTCCCTTTTCAGGCTCTGTGAAAGCTACACTAGGGGTAGTAGAAGAGCAGACAGAATAATTAAGCATCACCCTGATAATATTCAGAGGCTGAACTTTTAAGTATCTTTAACAGTCAGGACAAATGGACTCCTGGTATTTTCCAGTAGTCTCCATTCTCAAAATATTTAACAAAAAATTCATTGCTAGTTCCTTGTGCCTTTTGTATTTCACTAAGATGCCTCTTAAAATCTATCAACAAATTCTAACTTAAGAACAGTTAATTGTTCATTCCATTGCAGCAGATTCATTTAATAAAAGGAATAGAAAACCATCTAAAAAAACTTCTTAAACCTCCCCCAGTATATGGATTGGATGTTTTCTATTAAATAATTACATTAATATTTTCAGATTAAAATACCTTCTCCAACTATATGTGGCTTTTTGGCAAAAATATAACATTTCTCATTCTTGCTCCTAATCTCTTCCACTTTTGGATTTTCATGCTTTCACACGCTATAGCTACATGTGGGTTGCAACCCACGAAGAAGGAAACATTTAAAACCCAACTGAAAGAACTTCCAGTGCTATCTCTGAATAACAGTGCATTTTTTTACAACAGTAAGTTTATAAAGTCTCTTGAAATTCAAACTTTAAAATGCGGTAATGGTTCTGTATGTAAATTATTCTTTAAGGAAACACCTACTATCAGACGGTGAAGTAAATACACGCTTAATAAGATAGTGGCATTTTCTCATCCCTACGTTCAGAGGTTTTTATTCATACTAGCATGTTTTTGACAATCTGCTAAAATAGCATATAAGATACATAATAAATGAATCACAGTTTTTTCTCTCCTACATTAATATACCTTGTGAAGCAATTTTAAAACAAATATGCTGGAACTTAAGAAGTGACTACAGATTTTGGAAAGGCTTCCAAAGAGTGGAAGAGAGGCCTCTCCATTAATGTCCCCCCACTCCAAATACTTTTAACTGTAATGAGAGTTTTTTTTTTTTTTAAATAAATTGTAAGAAGCTCATAAGAACATGTGCAAGGAAAATGAATAGATACAGTGAAGGTCTAATCCTCTAATCCCACTGTCTGCTACAGTTCGACCACGTGGTTTCAGGTAAAGATAATGCAAATGTCACATCTACCCCTCAAGCTTAGCATGCAGCTTTAGAAACAAATGTAAGAAACGCTTTATTACTCCTGTACCTGTAGTTTCTTTTATCTTAGGGATCCGATGACATCCTTCTCTCAAAGTGCCAAACAGTGGTTCAGCATTAATCGCTGAATGCACGACAGGCACCGTCATTCTGTGACACACCGCTTCAGGCTGCTGGTGCAGGTCCTTGTATGTCGTTCCATGGTTGGGAAGAATGGCAGCTCTTTCATCTGCTGGAATATAGGCAATGCCCTTCATCGACGGGTCAGAGATAATGTGCTTAACATCAGAGGTACAGAGAGGAGACTCAACGGGGGTAGCACACGTGCTACTGCCTGTGCTGCATCCTGCATCCACTGAGGAGCACTGAGAGCTTTGCAGTGAGAAGTGGCCTTCGCTTTGCAGAGACGACATGCGCTTAGCCAAGTGATACTCACAAAGTCTGGCCACGTTCTGCTCAGCTTCTGGGAGCTTTGAAGGGTGGTCGTCTGCAGACAAATTGGTATCTTCTGCGTCGTTTAGGTCTTTGGCTGAAGACACGGTAGTCATATCTGACAGAAAGTTTTCACCTTGGCTAAGCCCTGAGGTATCATCCTGATCCACCTCAGGATCCACTTCATCCTTACAGTCAGTTTCTGTTTTACCAAGGACAGGAACTCTTGGAAAAGTCTTCCCGTTCACTGTTTCTGGGCTTGGCTTATCTGCTGCACCATCATCGGCAGCGTACCATCTTTGGCGAAAGGCAGTTCTCTCCACATTAAAAGTGCTTAGGCGCTGACCGTCTCTTGCTGAAAGAGTTCCAAATTTAGCTTTTAGATCCTCATCAGCCTCTGCTTTCTTAGTCCCCTGTTGCTTTTTCACAGTGGCACTGCCATCGGAGGGTGCTTTTACTTCGCTGTCTGTCATCTTATTTTTCCTTTTACTAGTGCAAGAATATACCAAGGATCCCATGTGCAATTTGCTAAAATAATCAGTGACAGATTTTGTTTCCATGGTCTCTGGCTCCATTTCCATGTTATCTGAATGCAGAATCTGCTTTGAAGGCACAACTTTGGACTGTAGCTCTGCAGCCTGACGACCAGCCAAAGGCTGTGAGGGCTTCATACCTGGCCCTCCAGCCTGACCCTTACCAATGGGAAACTCAGTCTGCTCTTCCACAAGGGGTTGGTAGCCTTCACTTGTGGTCAAAAACATGCGTGCCGTGTTTTCCGACTGTTTCTGTGCCGCGGCTAGTTCAGAGCTTTCAGTCATTTCAGAGGAATTTGTTTCATTGCCAGAATCTGAAGATGACTCAGGGCTATATGCTCGCAGGATAGCTACACCTGCAAGCCACAAAAAATAAGAGTCAATTAAATGACAGCAGCTGAAGCACCTGGATAAGTGACAAGGAAAGGGTGTGTGTTAGAGACAAAAATATGCTTGGTAAGAATACTCTGACTTTATTGCACAGTTCCCGGGACAGGTAGTTTAGTAACATAATGGTAGTTCCATTAAATAATATGGAATATGTTGTATGCAAAATGATGGCCAAAAAAAAAGAAAACAAACAAAAAAACCCAACCCTCATGAAATGGGGATGGATGGGATGGGATGATTTTCAATGAATAAATGTAACTATGGTGAAAGAACCTGAATTGTCATTCGTCTGCTGTTCCTCTGAAGCAGCCAAAGCTTCTAGTGCTTGAAGCGTAGAGACTACAGCATCATCTATCCCCTTCTCACACTTCCCCTCTGTATTAGTAGGGACAGCGTCGATAAGCGACACTGGAATGTCATCACTGCCCAGATTGCTGGCTTGCTCCTTGTTGTCTCTAGGCTGTGTTGCTTGATTCTGAGAGTCTTCCTCATCTGAACTGTCCCTGAAGCCAGGTGGAGGAGCAGCAATGGCCATGTTTAAGGTATGCAATAGGAAATCATCTTCATTATCATCACCTTCTGGAGGTGGAAGTGAAGTCAAATCAATAATGTCATCACTAGAACCAGAAAGGCTGAGAAGAGCAGGCCTATTGATTTCTCCTACCATAATGTCTTCCTCACAGCTTACTTCATCTTCGTCTTCAGCATCATCTGTGTTTTCTGCATAACAAATATCATGCAGCAAAGGCTCTTCTATCCCTTCCGCAGCTCCAAATATTTTACCATCGTTTATAGTTGCGTAAACAGAATTTGTAGCAAACTGAAGGCTTTCAGCATCCGGTGCCAACTCCAGGCCTTTAATATCATTTGCGTTACTAATATAAATGGCTCTTTGTTTTTCTAATACTTCTGGACTTTCATCCAAAAGCCTTTCATAGCCAAGAGTCTGGGGATTGATACCATCCAAGTTGTGATCTCCAAATATAAAGGAAACTTTTGCTCCCCGGGGGGAGTCCTGTGCTTTCTTGGTAGATTCCAAACCTGAGAGTGACAGCAGTGAAGGCTGATTAAAATTTCTGCTTGCTTCTGCTTCAGTGGGGTCACTTGGCTTAGCCAGATGCTGATCAAATCCACCTGAATTATAAGTATTTTCTATGTACAGATGTCTGTGTTCTTTTTGACATAACAGACTTTCAGAAACATCTACAGTCTTTTGTTTTGGATCAGCAAAGGACATTTGAGTCTCTTGATCTCCTTCAGCCAGGAAAGTGGTAGTTTTTGGTATACAATTCCACTCAGAAGCAAGAAGATGATGCTTTCCTCTGTTTTCAATTCCTATGACATGGTGAAATAAAATCAACATTGTGAAATCATAGAGCAAAGTCATGTAATTTTTAAACAATTACTTGTTGATAGTGAACAATAAACATTCTGAATAGGAAGTCTGGGCCACCAACACTTCAGAAAAGCACTTTCAAACTCACTTCTGCTCTAAGTTGATTTAATGACCTGAAGTTTAACTGGTACTTTTGTACTTAAGTACAAAACTAAACCTCAGCTAGGTACAAATGCTTTTCCAGAAATTCTAACACAAAACCCAATCCCCAGCTAGTGTCTCCAACACTGTATGTGTTCTTACAAAAGACATATGCATACCAAGTAATAACACTCACAGACAGCATGCTCCTGTTTCACCGCAGTATGAAAGACATTCATCACCTGGTTTATTTTACTATTAAGATACTATCATAGGCTGAGCATTAGAACACTATAAAGCTGAACTGATATTCTGTGGTGCTAGGTCTGAGCCAGCAATCAGATCTCATTTGGCATAGCCTTGTATTTATCTGGAGGTGCGCTGGCTTAAGCCAGCCTCTCTTATAAACATTGGACCATCATTAACACACCATGCAACGAATACCTGTTTCTCGGCTCCCTGTATTTTTCTTGTTAGCCATGTTAAATATGGAGCGCCTTGAGTCAACCAGCAGTCTATAGTATCCAGCAGTTAGGCACGCAAGATTCATCGCATCGGATGACTCCATCAGTAGAGTAATAGGCTAAGAAGAATACAACCAAGTCTTGGTTAAGGCTGTTCCTCCTCTGTTTACCTGCTGACAATACTACTATAGGGATGCAAAAGGAATTACATCACAAGCGCCACAGTGAAAAATACACATGAGAACTTATTTTCCTCACTACCAATATCAAACATTTAGAAAAGACTGGAGTTGCAGTAAGGTAGAAATCCAACTGGGCACTTAAGGAGCTGATTTTGCTCTCTTTCTGAATAAAACTATTTTGAGATTCTTGCTTCATCTTTTCTTGCACAGACATTACTCTCACCAAAGCACTGTTTACTGTTACTATGAAACTGCCAAGGGCTAAGAACCCTTATATTAGGTGCTGGAGTCTTGCATTAGTATGGGAATCCACAGTTTCTCAGAAAATGAGGTGCCCTAAGCACATGTAAAGAAGCAAAACACAGGAAGAAAACAGTCAGGGCAAGTTCAGGTTCAAAAAATACAGTAGTGAGGTTAAAGTTATCATTATACGGCAGTGACAGTGAATATTACAAGGACAAGTTAAAAGATTCTAGTGTTTGTGGCCTCACATTACTTAAAATACAAGTGATGAAAATAACCCCAGATAAACGGAGACAAAGAGGATGGAGAAAGATCCTCAGAAGGGAGATCAGCAAATATAACAAACTCAATGCCTTTAGACAAAAAAAGTCAGGCCTAACAGAAAAATGAGAGACCTCAGAGCTTTGAAAAACTATGTCTGCCAGGCTAGCGAGCACCAATGGGGTTGGATGAGGAGCCAAGCGAGGGCTTGTGTGTGAGGATTAACGGGAGGGTGGGGACAGGCAACGTTACAGGTCTGCTACAGGACCTCTACCAGGAAGGCCGAGTGGATGAGCCCTTCTATAGGCAAACAGAAGCAGCCTCACACTCACACACCCTGGTCCTCATGGGGGACTTCAACCACCCTGAAGTCTGTTGGAGGGACAACACGGCAGGGCACAAGCAACCCAGGAGGTTCCTGGAACGCACTGATGACAACTTCCTTCCCCAAGTGACAGAGGAACCAAAGAGGAGGGGTGCCATGCTGGACCTTGTTCTCACCAACAGGGAGAGGCTGGTGGGGAATGTGAAGCTCAAGGGCAGCCTTGGCTGTGGTGACCATGAAATAGTGGAGTTCAAGATCCTTAGAGCAGTGAGGAGGGTGCACACCAAGCTGCTACTCTGGACTTTAGGAGAGCAGCCTTTGGCCTCTTTAGGGATCTGCTTGGTAGAGTACCATGGAGTAAAGCCCTGGAAGTAAAAGGGGCCCAAGAAAGCTGGCAAGTATTTAAGGATCCTCTCCTGCAAGCTCATGAGCAATTCATCCCAAAAAAGAATAATTCAGGTAAAATGCCAGGAGGCCTGCATGGATGAACAAGGAGCTCCTGGACAAGCTCAAACACAAAAAGGAAGTATACAGGGCATGGTAGCCTGGGAAGAATGCAGAGAAACAGAGAAATTGTTTGTGCAGCTAAGGATCAGGTTAAGAGAGCTAAAGTCCTGATAGAATTAAATCTGGCCAGGGACATCAAGGGCAACAAGAAAAGCTTCTATAGGCACATCGGTGACAAAAGGAAGACTATGGAAAATGTGGGCCCACTCCGTAAGGAAACAGGAGACGTGGTTACCCAGGATATGGAGAAGATGGATGTACTCAACAACTTTTTTGCCTCAGTCTTCACTGGCAAGTGCTCAAGCCACGCTGTCCTAGCTGCAGAAAACAAAGTCAGGGACTGGGAGAATGAAGAACTGCCCACTGTAGGAGAAGATGAAGTTTGAGACCATCTAAGTAACCTGAAGGTTCACAAGCCCATGGGACCTGATAAGGTGAATCTGTGGGTCCTGAGGGAACTGGTCTATGAAGTTGCTAAGGCACTATCCATCATATTTGAGAAACAGTGGCAGTCCGTTGAAATTCCTACAGACTGGAAAAGGGGAAACATAATATACAGGGCGTGGTAGCCTGGGAAGAATGCAGAGAAACAGAGAAATTGTTTGTGCAGCTAAGGATCAGGTTAAGAGAGCTAAAGTCCTGATAGAATTAAATCTGGCCAGGGACATCAAGGGCAACAAGAAAAGCTTCTATAGGCACATCGGTGACAAAAGGAAGACTATGGAAAATGTGGGCCCACTCCGTAAGGAAACAGGAGACGTGGTTACCCAGGATATGGAGAAGATGGATGTACTCAACAACTTTTTTGCCTCAGTCTTCACTGGCAAGTGCTCAAGCCACGCTGTCCTAGCTGCAGAAAACAAAGTCAGGGACTGGGAGAATGAAGAACTGCCCACTGTAGGAGAAGATGAAGTTTGAGACCATCTAAGTAACCTGAAGGTTCACAAGCCCATGGGACCTGATAAGGTGAATCTGTGGGTCCTGAGGGAACTGGTCTATGAAGTTGCTAAGGCACTATCCATCATATTTGAGAAACAGTGGCAGTCCGTTGAAATTCCTACAGACTGGAAAAGGGGAAACATAAGCCCTGTTTTTAAAAAGTGACCAGCAAGATTATGAAGCAGATCCTCTTGGAAACTATCTTAAGACACAAGGAAAATGAGGTGATTGGCGACAGCCAACGTGGCTTCACTAAGGGAAATCGTGCCTGACAAATTTGGTGTCCTTCTACAATGGGGTTACAGTGTTGGTGGGTAAGGGAAGAGCAACTGACGTCATCTACCTGGACTTGTGCAAAGCATCTGAAACTGTCCTGCATGACATCCTCATCTCTAAACTGGAGAGGCATGGATTTGACCAGTGGATAGTGGCATTCAAAGAGTTGTGGTCAACGGTTCGATGTCCAGGTGGAGACCAGTGACGAGCAGCGTTCCTCAGGGGTCAGTACTGGGGCCGGCACTGTTTAACATCTTGTACTTGAGCTGGCACTGTTTAACATTTTCATCAGTGAC